TTGTCTTCTTGTTTTAATATGTCTGCCAATTTTCTTTAACATTTTCTTAAACTATGATATCCAGGTTCTTTTTTTTTTTGTCACAATTTCAGGTAATCCTATGATTTCAAAATTCTCTTACTGATCTGTTTTCCAGGTCAATTGTTTTCTCAAATACTTATCTCCTTGAGTCATCAATTTCTATTTGGTTCATTCTGATTTTTAGGGAGCTTGTAGTTTGGCTAAGATTTTGTACCTCTTCCATCAAAGGATTGATCTTTTTCCAATTTTCTCTGTAGTTTTAATTTCTTTTATGTATATTTAAAACTCATATAATTTCTTTGAAAAATTCTAATTCTTGTGGCCAATCTGTTTTCCCTAGATTTTTGAAACATTATGGGTATTTTAAAAATTATTCTCCTCTTCCGAATTTATGCTTTGCATATCCTTAGCATTATAAAAGTCCTTAAAACAACAACAAGTCATTTTTGTTACTAAGGTCTTGAAGGTTGAGCTCTTCGTCTCCTTTACTCTGAGGTTCAAATCAAAGTTTTCTTCTACCCCTTTGCTCTTTCTTTAGGGATTGTTCCTTTACTATAGACACCAAAGCTGTCTTCTGCTGCGATCAATTTTGCTAGTCCTTGGTTAAATCCGAGGAGAAACTCTTCTGGCGGGAGAGATCTTGTTGAGGCCTTTTCTTTGAAGGGGAAGAAGAGAGAGATTAAGGTCCTTTTTTCCTCCATAATTTTTTATTTTTTTAAAGTTCAACTGTCAATTTTACTAAAAGCTTTAGTTTTCTTCACGCTCCTCTCCCCATCCCCTCAGCCCCTTAATTCTTAGTTTGCCTTTTTTTTTTTTTTTTTTTTTTTTTTTACTTTAGCTCTGAAGTACGTCAGTTTCACTTTAGTCCCTCAAGGACTTCCTATGGGGGACCATTTCTTTTAAATCAACTGTCAACCCAAGTATGTTTTCTTTTTCTTTTTCTTTTCCCTTTACATTACTAAGGTGTCCTCTGTCCTCCACCCTCATCCCCTTTAAGTGCTTTGGTTTTTGTGTGCCTGTTTGTGTTTACCTTAGAGGAAAAATCTGTCAGTTTCACTTTAGTCCCTTGGGGAATTTCTTCCTGCTGAGGCATTTGAGACTTTTAGGAGGGAAAGTTTTTCACTTTCACTTTTGCTTTCCTGATACAAGGGCCATTGAGTTCTTAAACTTTTCACTTTCATCCCTAAGGGGATCTGGATTACATTTATGATTTGGCTAAAGTGTGAGTTACTTAGTTACTGGACTGTTTAATACTAGAATATACCTAAGCTATATTGTTTCCTTTTATTCTTACCATCTTAGCCCTCAGACCATTGGTCAATTTTAAGCGCATGCACTTAGACGCCAGGATGCTGCTTATACCACTGCTACTGCTGCTGCTGCTGCTGCTGCTACTACTACTACATCATGGAAACCTAAGAGGCTGAGTGATATATTAAATAGTGTTCTGGACTTGAATTTAGGAAAACCTGGGTTTATTTCTTGTTTCTGTAACTTACTAGCTATGTGACCCTGGTAAAGTCATTTAATCTTTGTCTTGTGCAAGTCCCTAATACTTTTCTACTAACATAAACAGGTTGTAATTTGTATTAGTGAAAGTTGTTCTCAAACCTGTAGTTTCCTGTGCTAACCAAAATTTCAGAACCTTCGTGTGTTCTTGTACAAAATGTCAAAATAAGTCCGAAGTCTGAGTATGCTTAATAAATAAACCCAAAATTTGTGTAGACTTCAGGTCAAATAAATTAGATCCCAATAAAATTCAGATATTTATACACCTGAGTACATTATATCCATCCTTATCTAATAAAAAACTTTTTTAATGATGTGAAAAAGTGATGAAATGATAATATCAGGTAATAGCATTTTAGCTTATTCAGTTCTCATGTTTTCCCCCTCACACTTTGAAATTTGGTATATCAAACACTGGGTGTATCACCCACACAACCTAGATTCCCAGTTCTAACAGTGTGAGCAGTTATACAATTTTCGTTGAAAGATGCCTCAGCATGTCTCTCGTGCATCTTGTCCACTTGTTTTTTTTTTTAATGAATAAATATTCTGATTGACTTTTGCATGCAACTAATTAACAAGGTAAGCTAAGCCCATTGAAAACATCCTCCACTGGAGAAGATGTGGAAAAATTAATGCATCATTGGTGGAGTTGTGAACTGATCCAACTGATTCAACCATTCTGGAGAGCAATTTGGAACTATGCCCAAAGGGCCATAAAACTGTGCATACCCTTTGATCCAGCAATACCACTTCTAGGTCTGTATCCTAAAGAGATCATAAAAATGGGAAAAGGACCCACATGTACAAAAATATTTATAGCAGCTTTTGTGTGTGTGTGTGTGTGTATGTGTGTGTGTGTGTGTGTGTGGTGACAAAGAATTGGAAATCAAGGGAAAGCCCATCAATTGGGGAATGGCTAAACAAGTTGTGGTATAAAAATGTAATGAAATACTATTGTGCTATAAGAAATGAGGAGTAAGTGGATTTCAGAAAAACCTGGAAAGACTTGCATGAACTGATGCTGAGTGAAGTAAACAGAACCAGGATAACACTGTAAACAGTAACAGCAACATTCTGTGATGATCAACTGTGATTGACTGAGATCTTCTCAGTAATATAATGATCCAAGAAAGACAATTCCAAAAGACTCATGACAGAAAAGGCTACCCACATCCCGAGAAAGACCTATGGGGTCTGAATGCAGACCGACAGTTTTTTGTTTGTTTGTTTTTTTGGGACTTTTCGCTTTTGTTTTTTCTTTCACAACATGACTATTGTGGAAATATGTTTACATGATTGCATATGCATAACCTATATCAGATTGCTTGCCGTCTTGGGGAGGGGAGGATAGGAGGAAGGGAGGAGAAAAAATTTAAAACTCAAAATATTATAAGAAGTGAATGTTGAAAACTATCTTTACATGTAATTGGAAAAAATAAAATACTATTTACAAAATTGAGGTCTTCCTGATAAAAAACAAAACAAAATAAAAAACATCCCCCACTGAAGGCCTTGAGACTGATATGAAATTAGCATATGAATAGTTGTTATACAATATTAGTCTAACATAAAGGTTGAATTTTAGTCAAATTGTTCCTTAACCATATGCTTTTTCAAATCTTCTAAGAAGCAGTGGATACAGGGTCAACCCTGGAGTCAGGGAGGATCAGTGTTCAGAGATCTAAGGCGTACTGGCTGGTGACCATGGACAAGTCACCCTCTCAGTAACACTACAAAATTCTCTGAAGACATAAATTACAGATGTTCCCAATTTGCATTCATGTAGCAAATTTTCCACACCAGAAATTCCCACATCAGTATAGAGACTAAAACAAATCCCACATTACTTTTAAAAAGTAACTTGGAAAAAAAACCCTCAACAACTAATCCTGTAAGGCTGCAAATAGATTTGTGAATAATGGTCCCTTTGTGTAGGGACGAAGAAAACTCAAAATAGTTATAGCAGATGTAAGTGATATGCCTAATTAATCATGTCTACACAATGTCTTGAAATTTTTACTCAAATCTTTGTTGTTACCATAATGACAGAACAATATTGAGCAATTTGTGCTCCAATGAAGTTATCTAGCATTGTAAAGACAAACAACTTTGAAAAGACTTAAAAAACCCTGATCAAAACAATGGCCAATCAGAACTCCAGAGGACTGATGATAAAGCATGCTACCCACCTCCTGAAAGTGATGGATTCAAGATGTAGAATTAAACATATATTTTGGGCACATAGATAATGTGGGAATTTGTTTTGCTTCACTGTGCAGATTTGCTTTTTCCTTTTTAATGGGGAGGATGGTGGGGGGAGAAAAAATAGACTTTTGGTAATTGAAAAAAATATTTAAAAACAAAACTGAAAAATTAAAAGCAATATCAAGTGCAGATATCAACTGTTATATTTAATATAGCTGCCTTTGCAATTATTGCTGGATGTTCTTAATATGTCCAAAGTTGCTTTATGACACAAATTATTTCCTTAGGGAATAGTCTGTCAGATCACTGGAGGAGAATACAAAGGCCACCTACCACAAAAGCAGAGCTTATTAAGTATGCAGTGCCAGACATTGTGATAACCAGTTGTAGCAAAGAATAGAGGAGAGGAGAGAAGGCTAAAGGTCAGATTATCAAATTGAATAGAAAACATTTATTTGCCTTATCTTCAGTTAGCTACTACTTTAAAATATTTGGATCTCTTAAAGGGAAAAGTATGAAATCAACCTTGTTCCTCTCTGGAACAGTTTGCTTAAGTTGCCATAGTAAGTCATAAAATGTAAAGATTCAAACAAGCATGCTGCCTAAATAGAACTGAAATCTCTTAGTGGCTTATGTTGAGTAATGCTTTTGGAATTGTTTTACCGCCCCAGAGCAAAACAAGCAAATAGGATACTTCATTTTCAATAAGTTTATTATTGTAAACTTCCATCATTGCTTCATTGAGAGCACCACTTGTTTTAGGATTACTGCAATAATCAATTTTGGAAAAATGCAGAAGTCCCTGGTAAATAAGGTTGTTCAATTGTAATTTTTTTGTCAAGTCCAAGGGTCCATGACCTAGCTGGTGTGTTTCCCTTCTTTTGCTGAACAGCTCAGTTTCAACTTCTAGTAGCTATTTTTCTCTTTCCTCAACCTGTTCTCCTTATCAAGACAGTTTTATCTGATTTATAAAACTTCGAATATTCTTTCAGCTCCAAGGTAAGCCATCCTCGCCAGTGCTGAAGCACCACAAAGGCTTGCTGGTGGGCATTAACCAATCACGTACACAGTATGTTCACTCTCCTCTCTTCTGTTGGCAACAGCCCACTGTACACCATTCCAAGCAGCTCAATTCTGGATTTCTCCTCCATGCTAATCTACAGAATCAGCCACGGGTTGGTTGGTTAGCCCAGGTGTGTAGCACCAAGTTGATAAGACAACAAAGGTTTTAAGGCTCCTCCCAGTGCCTTAGGCTAGCATACTCATTCAGGCAGAGTGATAGTGGGTACCCAGTCATTTACATTTCGGCTCTCCTCACAGAACAAGCTTAGTTTTTCCAAAGCTGGATCTTTCCAGGAATTCTCATTGGGATTCTGCAATGAAAAGGAAAGGGAAAACATTCGAGCATTTTACTATATAGTTAACATCAATCGATTTATCTTTGATGTTGGGTAAAGAAGAAGTGGACAGGGTCAAAAGATACTTACTGTGATTAAGATGCAGTGTAGGTCTTGGGGCTCTCCAGAATCCTCATTAGCACCTACAATCTCTGCCAGCTTCTGGATATTGTTGACTCTAACAATATCGATGTCATTTTCACAACAGAAAGCCTGAATGAGAGTGAAGTGAATTTGCAGAGCAATGTCCCCTTCATCTTCCTCATCTGCACCCAGGATACAAAAAGTCACATTATCTGGATCGCTGTATGGAGGGTGAAAGGAAAGTTACATGAGAAAGAAAGTTAGATCCTGGATATCAAAAGGAGGAATACAATATTACTTTGAAATTACAATTTAGGGTGTGTTTTTTCGGGGCTGTCCTACTGTCTCTGCCTGTATTTCTACATGTTCCTTAGATAGTCTAGCAATCATCTCCACTTCACACTTCAGTCAAAAAAGAAACTTCCTGGGGCAGCTTGATAGGATACTCACACATTCATGACTTTAGCAGACTCATATACGCCTGCAGTAAGGCAGCCTTGGCGTTGGGCAGACAGCAGCAGCTCGTTCAATGCTTTCCCGGCGCTCTGCATCCTACAGGGACAGCACAAGAGGGCATGCGGGTGAGAAAAAGGCCAAAAAGGGGAGAAAAATCGTTAAGGCCTCTCCGGCTGTCGGGTAGGTGCTGTGAACACAGGTAAGAGAAGTGCAAATTCTCAAATATCCTTCCCAACACATGCTGCTACTGTGGATGTTTCTCCTCCACAGGAGGGAACCCCAATTGCCTCACAGCCTCCATAAACCACCCCTGCCACCTTTTCTTTCCTCCTACACAGCAGTAGCTACAAACCCCACCAAAAACTGTATGGTCCCTTTTTTGCTAAAAAGGCGAAATGATCTGACAGAGCTATTTGAATAAAAGTTTCTGGCGTTCTGCATCCTGCAGAAACAGCGAAAGGAAAGCACTTTGAAAGGTCAGGCAGAGTAGGGAGCCATTCTCCCCTGCAGAGGTTGGAATGCTCCTGCTCAGGCTCTAAGAATGTGCTCCCCAGCTCTACAGGAGCTTGCCCTGGCTACAGCCTACATCAAGGGTTTCCTTTCCTTCTAGCAGCTGCTAGTTGATAATTACCTATTGGTGCTTTCGGTAACCATCTCCTGGCTGTGGATTTCTTCCAGAGTCATGATTCAGGGAGAAGGAAAAAAAAAAAAAAAGTTATCCACAAAGAAGAGAAGAAGCTCTGGCTGCTCCTTGCTCAATGGATAAGATCCCAGCAGACAGAGCAACCAAGTAAAATTGCTAGAGGAGTCTCCTCAGGAGCCTCTTTATGTTCTTTCTGACTGCTGAGAAGACAGCTGGTGGAGTTCCTTACACTGATTGGCTGAGGCAGGGGAGTATTATGATGGTAATAAGGCTGTAGGCTGGCCGACTCGTGCCAGAAGGCCACGTGTGGGGGGGGGAGGTGTTTGTGAGTGGAGGGGGTTGAGGGATTACAATACCTCAAATCTGCTGCTTTTGTTATGCTGTTACCAGGCAGACTGGAGCCTGTAAATTTAATCTCTGTCTCTTAAATCGTAAAGAGGAAAGAAAAGAAAAAGTTGGTTTGGCTAATGAAATTGCTGCTTATTAAAAAAATTACATCTTCGCAAAAAATTTTTTTTGACAAATCTTACGGTTCAGGAGCATTTCACTCAATAGGGAAATAATAGTAAAATAAAACTTGAAATATTGCTTCTAGCTTGCAGAAATTGAACAAAACCTATTTGCTGCTAACACCCAATTCTTAAAAGAACAGAAATTGGGGTTTGCAATGTACGTTTAAAAGTATAAATAGGGATTGGGGCTGAAATGAAAACTTTACCAAAATCCGCACAAGCCCTGAATAAATAATGAGTCTTAGTGGAGCAGATTGTGGATGGCACACGCTGCTCGTTTGCATTTCTATTGAAAGCATACAATAGTGGAGGTCTGGCGTGTGGCAGTTTGGAGTTTAGACAATTGATTCTTTTTCTTCATAGCAACACTGTCCACCTGCCACTAGGGTGGGGATTTGCTGATGGGTTGTGGGGTGGGGGTGGCGCAGGATGGGACAATTGTATTACTCTTTTCTTTCATCCAATCTGTTATTGCAGTTGAATATCTCCACTTGCACACGTTTCCAAAGTGCAATTGGATTGGGGTGCCCTAGGCGCAGGCGACGGTCTCCTAGGTTAAAGACTGTGTGTTCTTTGTTTTAACTTTCATACATGGTTTCAACAATAGGGCTTGCAAGCAATTTGGGCAAAAGTCCAGCTCTTGCTCGCAAACTAGAATGATAAACTATGTTTGATTGGCTCTAGGGTTTTAGAGTAAGGTGCTATTCATTTCATTCATGCAGTTAAACACCATAAGTTAAAGGGGAAACGATAAAATTAGCTAAGGGATCTGAATTCTCTTTAGTTGATCTACATTCAATACACATACATTTGAAAAGGGGAACTTACTTCACTTCATACCCTAAACCTGGTAGTTTGTGAAGTTGAGGCCCCTGTGGGAAACCCTTTAGGGTGCAGAACAACATAAAGGCTGGAAAATATCTAGATTGTAGATTTCTATATTTCTCCTATTGAGAAACCTAAATCATTCTGGTAGATAATTTTTAAGGAAAGCAGGTGTTTTCTGAGCCCCAGATGCCCTGCTAGAAAGTAGATAAATCTCAGAATAGTTAAAAGAAAGTGTTTTCCAATTTTGCACAGCTACATATTCTACCCATTTTTCAATAATAGCATCGAAAGAATGAAGTTGGAATAGACTTTTGCAATAATATTTTAACATATTCCTGTATGTTAAAGAATGTACTAATGCTTGTTATGATCTTTTTTCCAGATGAGGTACTTGCAGATTTATGAGGAGTTAACTATGCTCTACTGAATCGATACTGACCTGAATATTGACAGTGAATTTAAAAGGATTCAAAATTTGGTTCGACTACTTACTCCCTGTGAACTCTTTAAAAAGTCACTTCCTCTCTCAGCTTCCATTTCCTCATCTGTAAAATGTGGCAAATAATACTTCTTGTGAGGTTCAAAAGAGATGTAAAACTAGGAAAATAATATGAACTACAATAATGCTATTAAGCCATGGCATTCATTAAATGTCCACAACATCAAATGGAATATCTGTTAAATATTGACTGTATTTGGAACAGTTTAAACCAGAAAAAATAACTCTGGCCAATATAGTTATCTACTGGATCGTGGGTGGGATTATTAAGGTGAAGAAAAATGTTTAAATATGTACTTTCTCCCACAAATAAGTATCAGAGACAGAGGTTTCTACATATTTGTCAGCTTTCACAATAAGGAAATTTATGGATTACATCTACTATTTTGATAGCATATTTCAAATATTCAATTTGTAAAATATTAAAATTTTTTGTGGTTTGTGAATTTCGGGACACTGGGATAGATTAATTTTAATCCACAAAAAGTGCCTTTGGATTTTATGCAAAAAAAAAAAAAGAAAGCACCTGCCTTAATTATGGAGGAATTAATTACTTTATTTAAATAATTTTATCTGCAGTCAAGAATCATTTTCTGCACAGGCCAAATAAGTAAAATTGTAAATAATTCTGACTCCCCTATCTTCCCTCTTCCCCGTTAGGTCTCCCTATCCTGGAAATGCAGCAGCGGCTCATGGGCCTGATCCCAGGTGTGATTGGCCCAGAAGCTTTTACTTGTTCCTTTTCCCACCTGTGCTAATTCATGCCTCCTTAGGCTGCCTTGTGGTTCCCTGAACCCCCTTATTCTAGCCCCAGCTACTCATCATAGTGGTACCAGACTTAGAACAGACATCTAATCTCAGGACTTTTAGCCCTACAGCAGTTCAGAACTCCTAGCTCAAGTGATCACTAATCTCTGTCCCCTCAGTAGCTAGGTGTGCACCACTTCACCTAGCAATTCTAAAACTTTTATAATTTTCCTTTTTTCTGGTCACATAAAGGACATTAAACTATTCTTCAGTTTATTTCTCACATGTGTTATTCTTGCTGTGACCAGCAGTAGCATTAAACAGATTAGAGACTGAGAGATACTATAATCCAGTGAATAATAATTAGCATTGGGAAGCAGATCTAAAGCCCCATTCCCAGTGCCACCATTGTTGTTATTATTATATGTTATTATTATATAAATTGTCCTGGTTCTGCTCACTTCACTCTTCATTAGTTCATAAAAGTCTTACCAAGTTTCTCTGTAACAGTCTTTTTTTTTTTTTGTTATTTCTTGTGGCTTAACAATATTCCGTTTCTACTATAATTTGTTTAACCATTCCTTAGTTGGTGAGTGCCCCTTTGTTTCTAGCCCTTTGTTGCAATAAAAAGAGGTGCTATAAATATTTTTGGTTCTTTCCCCCTTTTTTATCTCTTTGGGATATATGCCTAGTAGATGTACCACTGAGTCATCGACTCTTAGGACATAGTTTCCAAATTGCTTTCCAGAATGATTAGACTAATTCACAGCATCACTAAAAGTTCAACCTCAACAATTGTCGTTTTCCTTTTAGTGTCATCTTTGCCAATCTTATGGGTGGAAACTTTGAGTTGTTTTAATGTGCATTTCTCCTGTCAGTGATTTGGAGCATTTTTTTTCACATGGCTGTTGATAGCTTTGAAAATTGCCTGTTTATATCCTTTGGCCATTTATCTATTGAGGAATAGCTCTTCTTATATATCTTAGATATGAGACCTTTATTAGATAAGGCAGCTGCAAAGATTGTTTTTCCCTCGGTTAACTGTTTTCTTTAAAATTTTAACTACCGTATTTATATTGTTTATGCAAAATTTTTTCAATTTTTTTTTGCAGTAATTATTGTCCAGTTTATTTTGGTGATTTCTTGTTTGGTAATGAAATCTTATCCTATTCATAATTGCAAAAGGTACCTCCTTCTGTGCTCCTCTAGTCTATTATATCACTATATACATATATGTATATATGTTTATTCTTTTAGAACTTATTGTAAATTTATTATGAAATGTTGATATATGCCTCATTTTTGACAGAGTTTTCTAGTTTTCAGAGGAGTTTTTATTGAGTAGTGAGCCTTTATACCAGAGTCTTTGGTTTTGTCAAATATTGTGCTACTGTGTACGTTTGTTATGCACCTAATCTGAAGGTAAAGGAAAGAAGGGAACAAGCATTTATTAAGTGCCTATTACATGCTGCAAATATTATCTCATTTGATCCTCACAATAACTTTGTGTTGTAAGTCCTATTATTAATTCCACTTTGTAGTTGAGATAACTGAGGCAGACCTATCTATGTGACTTGTTCAGGGTCACACAGCTAGTTAAATGTTTGAGGCCAGATTTTAACTCAGGTCTTCCTGAGTTTGGGCCTGGGGATTTATCCACTGTGCCTCACTGCTTCCCTGAACAACTTTTCTGCTTTTTAACTAGTACGTCATAGCTTTGATAATTTCTACTTTGTAATATAGTTTGAGATCTAGTACTGGTAGGATATCTTCCTCCCCACTTTTAAAATTGATTTTCCTTGAGATTCTTGATCTTTATTTTTCCTTCAGATGAACTTTATTATATTTTTTCTAGTTCCATAAAGTAAGCCTTTGGAAGTTTAATTGGCATGACAATAAATAAATTAATTTATGTAGTTTTGCCATTTTTATTACATAGAGAAGGGCCAACCATGAGTAATTAATAATTTTCCCATTTATTTATGTTTATCTGTTTCAGTATTTACTTAATTTTTATGTGTATTTTAGTTGGTATTCATTTTGAACATTAATTATTTTGAAAGGAAATTCTGTTTCCCTCTCTTCAGGCTAATTTTCTTGGTCATCTATAAAAATACTGATGTCTTGTGTTGATTTATTCTATATCTTGCTACTTTGCTGAAGTTATTATTTCAAATAATTTTTTCTTTAACATTCTCTATGTAGACCATCATTCCTCTCCATCTACACTTGATCTCTTTTTATTTCTTTGTTTTATTGCTAACAATATGTTTAGTAGTGGTGTTAACAGGCATCCTTGCTTTATTCCTAATTTTAAGAAAGATCTCTAGTGTAACACCATTGTATATCACATTGATGAGGTCTGGGGTGCTGGGAACCTCGAGAATGCCAAGGTGGTGTTGCCTGGAACAAATTCACATGCTCAAGCCATCTCTTAGCCAAGTGGCAAAGTTTA